GAAGCCACCACTGACCAGGTCAAACAGTTCAAAGACATGTTGAAATCTTTTCTGGATTTGCATGGCGATGAGCTGGCCTTTGCACCATTTCCGATCATGCCCAGCGCCGCCCCGCAGAACAGACTGGCTAAGGCCGTTGACGTGCAGCAACGATCCCCCGAGGCTGACGACAAAACTGTTCTGCCGCATGTCTTCAGGTTTCTCAAGACTGACCACGGAGTGTGGTCCGTGCTTGTTGCCCCTTGTCTGCAAGGGGCGCCACTTTCTCCTGCTCTGTCTGAGAGTGATGGAGAGTGAACCAATGCATGAAAGCCTCAATCAGGTGGACAGTGCACACAATGCCGACGGCTACAGACATTACGTCTCAATTCCAGAGTGGTATGCTCTGCGGACACCCTTTACTCAATGGTACACCAAAAATTTCAGCAGTGTCTTCTTGCCGACAGCAGATGCGATGCAGTTCGGATGCCAACATGTCGGGGTCCAAGGATTTAGCTAGAGATGCTGTTGGCACTCACTTGTCATGTAGCCTGCTACATACAGATTCGCTATGGTATTGAATTGAGGTGGTGAGAAGAGGCACCTACAAAGGTGCTATCGCATGCTCGGCAACACTTCCAGTGGATGCTACGACCCGGGATGATCCTGGTGATGGGGAGTGTCTTGCAGACAGCAACACTAAACGCCGATGCTGTGTTGAGTTGTCTTCAGGTGTTTGAATCTCTCGAGCGGATCATGCCCGAGGACCGCACGATTCAGGTCCTACCACACGACCCCATGTTTGTGGTGGAAGTACGGGGTGGACGGGCGCACACGGCTCAGATCAGAGCGATCCTGAAGGAGCTGCAGCTTTCGTGGCAGAGGTGGCTCAATAAATAGTAAAAGCTCGCTATGTTCTGATTTCTTTTTGCATGATTGTATTTAACGATTTGTTAATATGAACTTGCTGGCTTCTCTGATTCATCGTGGCTATTGATCGTTTTGAGTGTAGAGACTGACAAAGTTACAGTTGCTTTCTTCGTCTTATTATTTTTATCATTACGAATAGTATTCTTATGATTGCTATTTTTCAGGTCTGATTCTCACATACATTCAGGATTGGAGGGGAAAACTCGAATATCAGCAGCCCTCCACAGGTTTGTTCACAAGCTTCCGGGCAACCCCGACCAGCAGTTGCCGTTTAGCCACTTCTTGATCGCCATGCTACGCATCAAGAACGATGCCTCCTTCAGACAGTGCGGGTCTTTCGTTCGCATGCTCAAACGATGTATTCACCTGTTCAGCCAGGCCGCCGAAGAGGCTTTGGAACAGCATGTGACAGAAGATTGCCCATCGCCAGAAATCTCAGCACGATATCATCCGTTTCTCAAATCTTCTCGGTTGCGGGGCAACAGATGCTTGGCTATGAATCTTGTGCAGAAATTCATGGCCAGGGGCGGTGGATATGTCACCGTCAAAAACGAAACCCAGCTACAGGACTTGAACGTTCTACGACGTGGCACTGTCTATGCCACCCGAACTTCCACAGAGTTTGCCGCCAGGTCCTTGGCCAAGGCTCAGGACTTTGTCGGCCAGGTCTTGCAATCACAGCAGTTCAAAACGGTCAATTGTTGCTTTGACGGAGCGACGGTGAACCACGAGCAGGCTGGATTGAGTGTCTTCCTGGTTTGCTGAGGGCTTAGGTGTGGTAGGAGCAAGTTTCTCTTGCTTGAAGCAGTTCATCTTTCAAGGTAGCTCGGATTGCCATCAACCAAAGAGTCAATCATGGCACGAGTGAGTGTAAATCGAAGTGCTGAGCGATGTGTGAGTGTCTGTCCAACTTGGCGATTTTATTTCTAAACTTCCTGCTCGGGGCAGGTCTTATCTGTTGTCATGCGGATGGGAGGGTGCCAGTTCGCCGGTGCTACCCAGTTGCTTTCTGCGACCGGGAGCTCCAGTTCGGAGATTGTGGAGGCCGCGGCCAGTATGGCCTCAGCTTTGCAGGACCAGGTCCCTGCAAAGAAATCCGATGTCATCGTTAGCAAGGACACCTTCAAGTTCAAGGAGTATCGCACCGCGACGAAAACGGTACTCTGCGGCATCACGAACAGTTTGAAACAGTGTCTACCCGACGACTGGACCTTGTTGTCTGCGCGGCCAGCGAACCTACTAGTGCCCGCAGGTCCAGACGGCCGGAGATGCTGCATGACTCCTGCCGAAGCACGTGCCCGTGGCTTTACTCCGGACCAAGGCTCCCGCTGGTTTACCATTGACTCAGAATTGAAAACCAGTGCTGTGGATTTCTACGAGAATGAAGACCATTACCGGCTCTGCTGGGCAGCCGACGAGGGGACGGAGGAGCCGGGGATGCTGGGGATGGCTTGTTTATTGTTATAGTCGCCATCACTGTAAGTTCATAGAGGATTGCATTCGCTCCTGCTAGCAAGTGTCTGCGATGTTTATTTATTTATGTTGACTTGCAACGGGCAGGGATGGATCGCCTGGCAACACGTCGTCAGCCAGGGTGGCTACGTGGCCTGGTGGTCGGACATCTTCCACAAGGCTGCCCGTAAATCGAGTGCGGCGATTCGCCAGCAGGAAGCCGGAGAAGAGTTTATGCGAAAGATGATGCGGCTTTTCAAATACACTCGCGGCCCATACAAGACTTCCAAATTCGGGAAAAGCCTGAGTGAGGCACGAGACGGCTTGCTTGAGGTCCTCCGAACGGACA